GGGGGGGGCTCGGGGGGCTCCCCCAGGTACAGCCCCTGCCATGCCCAGGCTGCTGCTGCAGGGACCCAGCCCTGGCTGGGGCATGCCAGTGGCACTGGTGACACACAGGGCCTCGCATGCCAGGGCAGGACCTTGCTGTCAGTTGGGAAATGGCCGTGCTGGAAATACAGGCCAGGTGGCTCATGTCACTGGCCCTGCGGAGCAGCAGGATGATGAGCAAATGGAGTTTTTCCAGAGGGGCTGAGCAGCGCTGGGGTGGCTCTGGGGGTCAGGGCTAGCCTGAAAGCTCCATGATGGGTTTGGGATGGCACTGCCACAGGGTGGCACCGAGGCTGCTGGCCTCAGGGGGGCAGGGGTGCATGGGGACGAGTGCCCCCCTGCCTGGAGCTGCCCCTGGGGCTGGGCCAGGCACTGGGCAGCCTCTGCCTGCAGCTGGGGATGCTCTCCACAGGGTTGGGAGCTCCTTTGCCTCTCTGTGGCGTCCTGGGTGCTGAGAGGGGCATACACCTTCATGAAGCCACCCTGGCCCCAGGCTGAAACCTTTTGCTTAGGTATTTTGCAAATAAAAGCATATCCAGTTTTTTCTGTGCAAAATGGCAGTCCATGGGGAAACTCACTGTAATTTTTCATCTGGGAAAAACTTGGTAAGTGAAACATTTAATTCAGCTCAGGGTGGTTTTCCCCAGGTACCACAGATGTCCCGCAGCACAGCTCCCCACGCAGCGGTGCCTGCACCCCCCAACCCGAATGGTCCCCAGGGCCGTGACTCAGCACCGCAGGCAGCACGGACACGCACAGTGCTATATATAGACCCTGCACGCAGCCGGGCCATGCTGCCTGTGTAATTATCTCCCCTTTATGCCCTGCTGATTGCAGGCACTAATGAGCTCAGCTGCAGAAGCCACCGTGGCAGCCTGGGGCTTGCCAGCATGGGGCTGCTGTCTCAGCCTTTCTATGGGTGCTGCCACTGGGTCCACTGTGGGGCAGAAGCAGAGCTCGCTGTGCTGGGCCAGGGTGACGGCACCCCTGTGGACACCCTGCAGCCAGTTCCTGCTCTTAGTACCCAGCCAGCTGGTCCCATGCCCTCCTGTCAGTAGCAATTGCTGGAAGAATGGGGTCTTTCCATCCCCATCCTTCCTCTCCCTCCAACACCCTCTTGCTGCGCAGCCCAGCTTTGGGCAGATGCTGCTCCAGGTGCACGGGGCCAAACCTGAGCATCCCTTCCTGGTCCCCATGATGCTGGCCTGGGACCACCACAATCAGCAGTAGCGTCCACTAGCACGAGCACTGTAAAAGATGCTCAGAAAGCACTGAGAAGCTTCAGTTTGCTGCTGGGCAGCGGGGGTTTGCTGCAGTGACCCTGTGGCAGCAGCCTTGGGGCTGATGGGCAGCACCTAGTCCCCAGGGACTGACACCGTGTCGTCGGGCCAGCGCTGGTCCCCTGCCAAGCACAGGGGACCTGCAGCACTGGAGCCTGGTTTTGGGTTGGTCAGAGCCTCCATGGAGATGTGGTGGATGAAAGGCAGCTCTGGGCGAGTGGCGTGTGGGAACATGGTGCTGTGACACACAGTGATGGGGGGAGACACAGCTGCAGGGAGCAGGGGACCAGCTGGCTGCAGGGTATGGGGCTGTACCCCACGGGCCGTGGGCATTGCACCCCACGGGAGAGCTGTGGTGGGCCCGTGAAAGGGACAGTGGGTTTTACACCGAGGTTACTCAGTTCAGCTCCTCCGTCATGCCTGTGGGCTTCCTGCTCCTCGTCTTCTCGCCCACTGGCTCACAGCAGAGTGCTGCCCGTGCCAAGAGCCCCATGTGTTTCCAGGATGGAGAAGGAGATGGGAGAGCAGACGGGTCTCCTTGAACTCTTTGTTGAAGATCAGGCTTTAGAAAGCAGTTCTGTAGCTTGAGCTGAAGGAGAAAATTAAATTTCTTTCCTTGTATCGTTCAGCATTCCTGAGAAATTGGAGGCAAAGCAAGCAGTATCCCCTCTTCCCTGCCAGTGTTGCTGCCAGCCCCGCGCTCAGGCTGCATGGGATCTCTGCTCTCCTCTGCTGCATTTCGTAACACTGGCAGTGTTTATTCTCTTACTCATTTGTACTTCTTTCCCATTTGAAACAATCAATTGTTGGTACAAACTCACCTAGGGAGCAATTACTGTAAGCTGAACCCAAACAGGCGCTGGGGGGGCTCCATTAAGCACTGTCACCCCCTCCCCTCCCTGCGCCCCCCGAGGACACAATATTTACTGTTCAGCTCTCTGCTGTTCATACCCAGCGCACTCCGGTCAGTGTGCCAAGAATAACACAAACCATAACAACAGGCTTAAGTGCTAAGATGGAGTTCCTGACTTTGCAAAACAAAAAAAAAAAAAAAACAACAAAAAAGCACCAACCTATTATTTTGCCTTTGCTAAGGAATGCCTGGCTGCAGCCGAGCGAGCAGGCGCCCCAGCCACCCCCTGCCTTCAGCAGAGCCCTGTGTAGCATGAAATGTGCCCCGAGGGAGCACAGAAACAGGCAGAAAAAGAGCAGTAAGCCTGGGATGAGGGCTGGCGACTGCTGGTTTTTTCTTTTAACACAGATTTTTATGAGGTTGCTGCATTGTTTTGTGAGCTTTTCCTCAAACGCTTTGCAGAGCCACGGAGGGACACCTTCCCTAGCACTTTGCTTCTGAATATTTCAGCCAGGGTTTAATAGCTCCATCTCTGACTGTCATGAGCCTGCATGGCCTTAATCAGTAATTGCTAAGAAACTGCTGCTCAGTCCTGTTAGTCTTTTCAGTGCCATCAGGGTTCAGTTTGTGCAGTTCTCCTCTGGAAATTATTTATTAGCTAACCAGCTGCTAATGGGGGCAGCACTTGGAGCAAATTACCTTGCTGGGATATTTCATGGGAATTAGCTATATTGTACCTAAAGTCTGAACGTTCATTTAGCCAATTTGCCTGTCGGAAGTAAAAGCTGAAGCAAAGCAGAGCCTGGAGCTGCCAGAACAGGCCGCAGGGCTGGCCCTGGCAGGAGACTTTGGCGCTGCCTGCCCAGGGAAGGGGATGCTCAGC